GGCTCACAGATTCACCAATTCTCGTGACAGTATAGAGGGGTGTGGGTCACTAGGACAGAAAGTGACTTTTTCGCGTTTCGCAGCTCGCAGCGCGAAACATTTTTACGCTGCAGGAATCTTAGGTCCATGGCTGGTCATGAGCAGAGTCAACCCTGCGTTGCGCAGTTCTCAACGGCCACGTTGCGCAGTTTCGCCCGATTAGACACGTTCTCTCGCGCGAACATTCACACTCGCATGCTCGAGCCGTCTGTGTCTCCGCCCATACAGCGTGCGTTGAGGATCTCTCAACGTGCCGTTGCGAACTGCGCAACGCAGGGTTGACTCTGGTCCGGTCCGAGGTGCATATCCCTTTTTTGGACAATTCCTCCCAAATTTGCTCGTTTATCCGATCACATTTGAGAAGTGTTTTATCTAAATATCTTTTCAGGGAGAACATGACTTCCTCCTCATTACCCGCGAATATTGGATTCGCGGACGGGTCAAAAGAGAAATTAGAAGCACGCTCTCCAGTGATCTCAATAGAAGTTCCGTCAAAAGTCCTAGAGGGTCCTTTACTTCATCGCTCGCTCAGGTTGGATTAGTGCGTCTCTCGTGGTCTGGCACTGTTCTTTTTATATATGTACTGGTATTCTAGTTTGACGATCATCACCCTCATTGTCTGTAACATGTTTTATGTAGCGATTGACTTATATTAGGTTGATGGGTTGATGTGTCTGTCACTCAAAGAACCCTGGTGATTGTCTCGTTGTCATTTCGAAGCGAGCTTTATGTTATCTAGTTGTGATTTACGCTTCATCAGGGTTGACAATTTTAACTTCAGTGCTCTTTCAGCCAGCTAGCCTTTTTTCTTGCGCTGGCCTGCTCATTATTGTGTATTTAACCAAAGCTTTGGCATATGTTTATATGTATAAGACTGATGACGATCTGCAGGTACCTAGGAAATAATGTTCTATTCTCATCGTACTGCGCTTTGCTCGGGTATTCCCTCATTCTCATTTGTACCATAGATGGATCGGATCAGAGCTGTTGTTATGTCGTTCACTTATTGTATGGAGTTGTGACTGTTCCAATTTTCCATGTTTCTTCTTTTTGTACATGACGTTTTTAGGTTGCCACTCACTTACGTTGTCTCTCACTGGCTTTAACCAACATGGTTTTTAATCTCAGAGTGATAAGTTAAACGACCACTCTTTTGTCTCCTTTCATTATTTAACGTGCACCAAATTGACTTGGGTGTTTTATGCAAATAAATCGTCGTTTACTTTTTGTAATGTGTTAAAGTAATTGACCGAAGATGGACCTGTGTAAGTTGCCAGAAGTAAGCAATAGTCTGGGTATCACGGCTTTAGGAAATAGTGACTGCTGAAGACAAGGGCTGGCCTCGGTCTTTTCGGCTAACATCTGTGCATTGTCGTACTGTCGAGTCGAAAATTCAGAACTCTTTTCCGATTCCCTTCACCTGTTCTCTTACCAGGAAGGTCTTTCAGGGCGTGACAAGCTTTTTGAAAACGGTCTTTTGCATGATATAGGGGCAGATGCGGGAACCACAGAACCATGTTCAATTTTTCCTGAACGGCCCTCTGAATACCAGGGGGTCCCTAGTTCGATTCCTCGTGGTGACAAATTTTTGCATTTCGAGTTGACGTTCCAAAATTCGCGCAAAATGGAGTTCTGATTGTTCTGGTTGGTTCTAACTCCATTTTGCGCGAATTTTGGCACGTCAACTCGAAATGCAAAAATTTGTTACCACGAGGAATCGAACTAGGGACCTCCTTTTCTGGTATTCAGAGGGCCGTTCAGGAAAAATTGAACATGGTTCTGTGGTTCCCGCATCTGCCCCTATATCATGCAAAAGACCGCCCGTAAAAAGCTTGTATAGCATATACATTA